TCAATAAAAAATAGAACAAAATTTACAATTGCCAAGCAATGGGCAATCATGATAGCCCTTCAAAATAATTGGGACACCCAAATAATACATTCTTCTATGCACTTGAGGGCTTCATAAAAGTTTCTTTACAAGACTTGATGATATAGTTGACATGGGGATCGTCCTTTTCAATTTTCTTCAACAGTTTTGATGCTTTCTTTCGCTGCCCTGAAACCAAAAGAGCTTCATACATCCTGCATCATAAATTACAATTTACAAACAATTAGAACCAAACAAAAACTTGAAGTATTCCACAAATATGGGACAAACTGCCAACAAATGAATTACAATTAGAAGATGGTCTTTAGAATGGTTTTAAAAGATGTAGAGTTGATCGCACATAGGACGTCAACTCGATTATCGATAATCATAAAAGCTGATGTAAAAAAGTATCAAGTACAACCTAAGTATAAGTTTAAACAAGAAGCTCAACCTAGTTTAAATGCCAAGTTGAAGTAACACGAAAAACTATTCTAGCAAAAGAACTAGTGTAAATCATTCACTGTGAAATCATTACTAAAGAATAGTAACACCATTTTACCGATACATAAAAATCCGAATCCATCAAAATTAACTAGGAAATTATAAACAATCACTGTAATATCAATGAACAAGCTAACCACAAACCTTAAGAAAGTCAACACATTGTAAGAAAGGCCAGCATCTTCATATTCTGACCAGACAAGCTGAGCATGGTGGGGATCTTTCGCAGTTACACAGGAACTCAGGAGGAAATCAAGACTCGTTCGAGAAGGACGAAGGTGAAGCTCTTCTTTAATAGCACGAAGTAACTCCAACCCAGCCTCTAAGTGTGTAGGTCCCAATTCCCATATTTGACAATACATCTGTATCACCACTAAAAAGAATTAGGCACGTTGCAAGAGTAAAAAAGCTAGATCATGTGATGTATTGTAACAAGTATATCAAGTCAGTCAGATCTAAAGAGATGATTGACATCTGGTACACTGGCAAGTAAAAGCTACACCATGGCTGTTGTTTGAAATAATGATATATTGATAAGTAAAATGATTATATGGATCACTCCAAGATATGAGGTGTCTGACAATTTGCACCTATTACTAAATCTCATAAACTTTCATTTCAGAGGGCGTGTATGCATTTTTTGGTGACCATATATACGTATAGGCAAACATTCGACTATTTTGGGTGTGAATCTAAATGAATGGCGAGGATCATTTTCACAGCCCATTTTAAGAAGCATTCCCTTAGAAAATTTCTACGATGTGTATGTGTATGTACACGTGTTGTCCGTGCGTGCTTGCATGTGCATGCACCAGTCGCGTGGGCGGGCGCGCACCAATAGAGTGTGCGTGTGTGCTTGTGGTCTCAACCTTGGTGCG